GTTATATGTTGTTATATGTTGTTATACGTTATATGTTGTTATATGTTATATGCCCATTTGTTTTGCCAAATTTTATTTGTTTAGATGTGACTTGCAGTATTACAGCTAGGATCTTCAAAGTAGGCAGGAATTAGGTATGCAATAGCCTTTGGAGTTCCCTGTAGTAATTATGGAATTTGAAGAACGAATTCCAATAGGAGGAAATACATCATGGACACTGGAAAATTAGGCTCCAAGTCTGTGTACTTAGAACCTCCAAAGCAACAAAGGAAGCATAGCTTTGGGAGCCTAGTTTTTTAGCTCCTGTTGAAGTCATCGCAGAGATCTGGTTCACAAGAGGGAAATCCGAGCTGTGAACTTAATTCTAGGTCAAGTGATAAAGTACAGAATAAAAGTGTAACAAGCATATGCAAGAACATTTCAGGTAACTATAATATTCAGGACTCAACTTCAGTAATATCTAAGAACTGCAAGGCTTTGGAAATGGCTTATTGAGACTCTGTGAGACTTCTCTTTGTACAGAAATATTATTATCAGGAAGAGATGGAAAAGTAAAAGGGAAGAGGGAAAATTTAATGTCACCGGCAATTGAAACTCTTAGGCAGAGATTCCCAAGTTTACTTCCACTGCTTACACTTTTATCTCCTATCAGTAATAAAATTATACTAAGGGTTAACTGAACATCTAAGCAAGTACCTTTCAGAAATTGGATCCATTAAAAAAAGAGAAGGGAAAGGAAGGGAAGATGTGTAACTTTATGAAGTAAATTTCTGCAGCAAAATGTACCTGACAAGCTCTTTCTAGTCATAATATTGCATCTATGTGTTTTATCTGCCAATCATGTAGTATTTCTATATTCTTTAGAAAAGTAAAAATGATTTTGTTTTATTTTGGAAAGGGAGAAAAACTGCTTTTAAGTAAGAAAAAACCCAGCTCTTCTATAGTGTATAAGTCTTCAAAAGTTACAGGAAAGTTATGTTTTAGCTGAACTTTGATAATTTTCTAAAGAAGTTTACAGAGTACCATAGGAAATCAGAAGAAAAATCTCTTATACACTAAAACTGTTGTAAAAATCAGAACAGACAAAAGATAGAGCAGCAAAAGGAACACAGGGATTTTATCTCTTTTTTATACTTCACAAATGCATTTGTATCTGTTTTTGTTTTTGTGTGTGTGTGAAATTTCTGAAATTTTCATTATTATTTCTTTCATTTAATGAGAAAGTAATGAAAATGATTCTTTTTCCTTTCAACTAGGACTTGGTTTGACCACTGATTCATAGCGAATTTGCACATACTGACTGACTCCTATAGTTTCTATTTCTGCGCAGCATTTCTGGTTTTTGCTGCACTGCAAGAATTCTATTAAAATCGAAACACATTGCTACATTTTAGATTAAGATTCCATATAAATAATTTATAAACAAACTGATAAATGAGTAATAGATGTTATAAACACATTACTGGCACAGTATATGTTACTGTTGCTTATATTGTGGGTTGTAAGTGCACCAGCAGAAGAAACTACACAGATCTATAGCAATCCATTGACTTCTTGTAGACTGCAAAAATTTATAGCTACTAATAAGCTATTTATTTAAAACGACAACAACAACAATAAAACTATTGAAGAATTTAAAAGCATCACAAAAAATCACTCACCAATTTGCAGAGGGTTGTGGTTGAAGAAAAAACATAAATGTGCAGCAAAAAGCAATCAGATTTTTATGAATTTTCTGCCATGATTGAAGCTACCTATTCAGGTGTAGCAGGTATCATAAGGGTTAGAGTCAGTCTTAAGAATTTTTATCAAATGGCCTGGAGAAGTGTATTTAAAATGAGAAATCTGTGTTTTTTAACTTACTTTTTTTTCCATTATTATAGCCTGAATTGAGACCACAAAGTGAACTGATTAACACATTTCAGAAGATAAACTTCTTCTCTATCCTCAGTTGAGGATATCTTCCTTTGAGTATCATAAGCCCATTCGGATTTCACCCTAGAATTCTGCTATCTCTAGCTTTTTCCATCAGGATGGTTTCTGGACTGTTTATTCATTTAAAGATTCACCTTACACTCATTTAAATTTGCTGTAGTGCAAAGGAACTGTGTGACCCAGTTCAGAATATTATTCTTTTACTGTCCTGAGAATAATTCAGTGCTATGCCTGTAAGTCGTATGGACAGTTGCCTCCAAGTTGAGTTTATTAATGCAGCTTTGCTTAGCTTTAATCTCCAAGCTTGAGGTTTTTCAACAAAGCCTAAGAGTTTACACGAGTTTACAACACCCTTCTACTCAATCTTACAACCCTTTGCAGAAAAGTATACCTTTAAAATCTGTTTGCATTGTAACACGGACAGAATTAAATAATTTCACCACCATTTTTCATGAGAGACTTTAAGTACATATTAAACATCAATCAGATGTTTAAGGTCCATTAATGAATATTTTGTATTGAATAAATAAAAAATGTCAGCTTAATGGCTTTCCACAACTAGGTCACGTTGTATCTGGGGGCTATCAATATTTCAGTATTATCAATATTAGCATCTCCTAACACCAGAAAAGAATGCTGCCCTCCATACCATGGTGCAGCATGGATCCACACAGAAATGAGTGGGTATGAATGTATGTGCTTCACTGGGCTGAAACAGGTGGCTCTGCTCTCAAAGAGATCTCGAAATTGTAGGAAATTATCTATAGACAAAATGTGACTGAGCCACAAGATGTCTGGTCCGGTTGATGTGGTAGAAAACCAAAGATGACAGTATGTTTTTCAACAAAAGCTACTTATACAAGTACTAAGCAGAATACTTTGTTTCTATGTAGGATATACTGGAATACCTTGTGAAGCTTAATTCCTCTTTCCAAACATGGACTGGATAACAAAAATGAAAGTTTTGTTATATCTCCAACATCTCCAACAGTCAACTGTTAGAAAAATAAATGAAAAAAAAATTGCAAACAATGAGTAATTATTGTTTTTTTCACGTTTAAGAATAAAAAACTTAGAGAAAGTATTGCTCAGATTCAAATACCTGCCCAGAAACTGCATTAATTTCATGTGCACATTTCAGAATAAGTATTTTTCTGGGTTCATGGTAAAGGAATATAGCTTCTAAACAGTGAAAACAGATTAGATGAGGTTTGAGAAATAAAAAGTAAAGGAACTATGAAATAACTTCTTTAGTTAAAACCTTACTGTTAAGGACTACTAGACTTACTGCAAGTCAGTGAGGTTTTTCGTGCCAAAGTTGTCATTTGCTCAGTAAAAGAGTTCTGTAAGTCATATGCATCAGCCTACATGTAAGAATTTCTTCAACTGCTTAATTAAGATATGGAGGGGTAAACATCAACTCTAGCAAACAAAAAAAAATCAGCACATGGAACTTCACATTCAGAAGCTGCAAATCTTACTTTACTGTAACACTCCGGTAAAACTTGCATGAAAGAAAGAAGAAACCAACCAGAAATGGATTATCATTCAGATTCTGAACTTTCTGTGAAGAAGATTTCCCTTCTGTTCCAAATACCACAACTTGAACATCAGGTGTATCTTCTGGAACTTCCACACAGTGTACCCACATTTGCCATTGTCCTCTGCTTTTAGTATTAATTTGTTTTGTAAGAAGAGATGTCACAGACATTTCTGTATTGGAAACAAGCATATATTCAGAGCAGATATCTAAATTATAAGACAGTATGAACCATGACATAAAATTATTTTGCCTGGTATGACTGGATCTGCTACAGACAAGTCAGGCAGCAGTCACAAAAGCCCCATTGCTCATTCTAGTCCTATAAAGGTGTGTAAAACCAGGCTAGCTTCTTCACAAATTCATTTGTGACATTCACACAAGTGACATGCCCATCTTCTCTGCTTTGTACATGCTGCCAACGCTTGCAACTACTCGCCAAAGTTCTGAGAGTATATGTCAACTTTTGTAAGACTAAACTATGCGTTATCAACTCCTCCAGTAGCAGCAAGAACTAGAAGCATTGGCATTGCCATCATTTTCATCCCAAGCATGACTGCTTCTTTGTTTTAAAGAAGGCATAATTCACCTTGGATCAGGAGCCAGTGTTTGGTTTTGCCTACACTGTAGGTGAGCAGCCATGAAGTAGCCATGTGCTAACTTCATTATGCTTTGCCATGCAATAGTAATTCACGCAAATAAGGAACATTTCTGCTGGTATTTATTACCTTTGAGAGGAATTACCACTTCCACAAAATCTTTCTTAGGACGTTTATTGATCCAGTCATTATGAACAAAGACATGTGAAGAAAAAGGGTAGCTGACTTCTTTTATAACAATTTTTTCCAAGAACCACTCATCTGTATGAAAATAAATAGAACATTATTAATTTAAACTTTTTAAGTTACAAAATATTCTTGGTATGCAGTCATAAGTTTCTATCTTTACAAAATCAGCGCAATGTTTTCTTTTGTCTGACTTCTTAAGGAAATGAGACTTCTGAAAATATTGTGACTGTGCATGTACATTTCTGTCTGTTCCCCTGCTCTCTAATACATTTCATACAGTGAAAAATTCTTAAAGAAAATTTATGTAGACCTAGTGAAAAAATATATGCTTCGATAGATTTGATCTATCCAAAGGATAGATCAAAAGGATCCAAAGCTCCAAAGGACGGAAAAGCTTCTAAGAGATCTCTACACAAGAGATCCCATATACAAAATCCTATTATAAATATCCCAATGGAAAACAGCGTATCAGGATTTCTGCCAGATCAGCCACCAAAACATCTTCTCAACACAACTTCTGCAAGTATCTATGCAATCTAAAAAGATACAAACTTAGCTGAAGGTCTTCTCTTGAAGAAATCTAGTTAACATATTCTCTGCAAACAACACTTGGACCCTTGAGTTTTGATAAACTTGGCTATACTCCTAGTTTTGGTGAAGTTAATGAAAGTCTGATCATCCAGTTTAGTGTAATCAAGTAAGAAATAAATGAGAAGTAGTTCCCTAATCAGCTTTTATATGCACATCTATAAGTTTAATATAGAGAGTCATCTTATAGTCTTGCTTTTTGATAAAAATAACAAGAGACTCAGTTTACCATGCACTGGAATGGTCTTGTCTCCAATATCAATATTATCTGCACAAGTGGCAAACTTGTAAAAGCTTGAATCTCTTGCCTCTGAACATTGCTGAGCCAAAATTTTAGCCAAATTATTGAACGAAATATCAGTTTATGATGATCCCTGCTGTTACTGTTTCAGAGCTGAACAGTTTTCTTTAACAACAAGAGCTTTTGCTGAGCTGGAGGGAGGACACAAATAATATCCTGCAGTGAATTTTAGCACAGCTAGATACTTGAGAAGTATAATCCAATAGAAATAACAACAGAAAGTTGAGAGTAATTTTAAAAAAAAAAAAAAAAAAAAAAATATTTTAATTTCAAATTTATTACTGAAGTATAGAAAAAAAAATGCTGACCTTTTTTTGTACTCTTAAATCCAATGAGAACTTGTTTCAACTTGCCAAGGTATACTGCTTTGATTTTGAAAACATCCACCTGTAATGTGAAAATAATTTAAATTATATTTAACAATCTAGCTTTGTGCATCTGGACACTGCTCTATATCTTAAAAGAGGTAAATTTGTCTCATTCACACCATTCCATTGTCTCAGAGTTCATAATTAAACAGTAAATGTGATAACTGATATTTTCTGTTCCAGAGAATATTATGAACATAAAAAAATTGCTGTACATAATAGGATGTAATTTTACAAGTAATGGATAGCAATAAAGTCCTCGTGTCTTGCATGTTCATAGACTAAAATAACCAAATCACAATGTCTACTTGTGTTGAAAGTTATTTTGAATGAGACCCTAACTCTCAATGAAACTTGCAAATATCTAATTATTCTCAAAACCTGAAGCAATTTCATTTTCACTAAAAATCACAGTTAATTGAGTGGGAATTAGGCAGGTAAATGAGAAACAAATGAATAGCGTTTGGGAAGATTTCAACCACTCTGCTACATATCTCAGCTGAACATGAGCCAGCAGTGTGCCCAGGTGGCCAAGAAAGCCTATGGCATCCTGGCTTGTATCAGAAATAGTGTTGTTAGCAGAAGCAGGGAAGAGATCGTCCTTCTGTGCTCAGCACTGGTGAGGCCACACCTCGAGTACTGTGTTCAGTTTTGGGCCCCTCATTGCAAGAAAGACATTGAGGCCCTGGAGCATGTCCAGAGAAGGGCAACAAAGCTGTGATGGGTCTGGAGCACAAGTACTATGGAGAGCAGCTGAGGGAGCTGAGATTATTCAGTCTGGACAAGAGGAGGCTCAGGGGAGACCTCACTGCTCTCTGTAATTACAGAATCACAGAATGACCAGGGTTGGCCTCTTCACTCATGTAACTAGTGATAGGACTAGAGGGAATGGCCTCAAGTTGCACTAAGGGAGATTCAGGTTGGATGTTAGAAAATACTACTTCTCAGAAAGAGTGGTCAGGCACTAGAATGGACTGCCCAAGGAGGTGGTGGAGTCACTGACCATGGAGGTGTTCAAGGAACGTTTAGACATTACGTTGAGGGACATGTGAGAACATGACAGTTTAGTGAGAACTATTGGTGATTGGCAGATGGTTAGACTGGATGACCTTGTATGTCTTTTACAACCTTGGTGATTCTATGATTCTATTGGAGTAAGGCTTTTTCATGGAAGCCATTTCTATGATAGATGTTTCTCTCTTCCATGATGAACAGACTTGATGGAATCTTCCCTTTTTCCCTTCAGCAAATATTTGCAATGATTTTATTATTTGCTTAAGACAAACAAACAAAAAATATTCCAAATCTGAACACAATGGGAGTCTAATAAAGTGTCAGCAAGATATTCCCTGTCAATCTGAAACAGATATTTCTGTTTGATCTGAAATTTGTTTTAGCTACTTTATTTTTATGCCCACAACCACTTAAGGAATTACTCTACTAGGAAAAGTTCTTGAACACTCAAAATGCAAGTATGAGGAAAAAGAATAATGGAAGCATGAAAAAATAAATTACTGCTCGGAATACAGTTATTACTATTCAGGAAGGCTAATCAAGAGAAGGCTGTGGTATAAAGGCAAGTTATTCTGCAGAAATTTTATCAGAGCTACCAGGCATATCTAAACAAAAATAACTCCATAGGCTTAAAAGTCTGGAATATTAAAGATGAAATTTCAGAGTATATTTAGTTCAACTCAACATTACTTCATTAACTTAATTGCTTTACTATTGTTTAATGCTATTGATGCTTAATACGTTACCTATGAAAATTACATCTTAGTTAATAGAAAAAATTATACCCACACAGAATGCAAAAGTTAGTGAAGTGTTTTTGATGCTTTGTACATGAAAAGTTCTATAATAACATAAGAAATAACAAAAAGATACTTGCAGATTCAGTTATGTTTTTCCTCATTGTTTTACCTGCCCTCTAGCAAAAGTAATCAGGCTGTTTCTTGAGTTAAGCCATCGTTTCCCTGAGTCAGTCCTTTCTCCTTGAATACACAGATAAGCCTCACCAGTGGCATCTGCTTTCCTCAAGTCTCCAGTGTGCAAATTGATTGAATATTCCACAACTTCAGAAAAAAAATGAATTTACAAAAAATGTCATCATGAGAAAATTGTGCTTGTCTACTTGCATAACAACTATATTATCTAATAATTCCTAGTAGAAACCATTGCAAACTTCATCTGAATCCCATACAGTGCCAGAGTACAAGTAGCACAGATCTGTTTCCTGGTAATGTCCTATCTAAAACACATTCTTACAGCATAACTCTTTGTTTGGCAATTCAAAGAATACAATTTTGTTTCAGTTAGACACCACTCCCACAAAATCAGCACTACTGGCTGCTGCTTGAGGCAGAGTCTCAAAAATAATTCCTCCTCCTCCTTAAAAGTAAATCTCTAAAAATATTTAGACTTTGGAAAGTCTAAATTCTGTTCTTTAAGACAATTCACTCATATTTCTTTGTTCCTTCTCTAGGTAGTGTGCAATATCATAGAGCCATAGGACAGCTTGGGTTGGAAGGGACCTTAAAGATTATCTAGTTCCAACTCCCCTCCATGGGCAAGGATTGCAACCCACTCAGTCAGGCTGCCCAGACCCCAATCCAACCTGGTCTTGAATGCCTTCAAGGATGGAGCCTCCATAGCTTCTCTGAGCAAATTGTTTCAATATTTTCTTCTTTAAAGGAAACTAGAACTTATCACATACAAAATTGTTTAAAAGAAAGCTGGAATTTGATTGTCTTAAGATTTAAACTTCTGTAATTACCTTCCTGTGACTGAACCGATCAGGACTATCAATCTTTCTCACTTCTAAGCCCATAAACCTATCAGAACGAATTTGGAGCTAAAACAAGTTAATAATGAATAATGAACTAAAAATCCTCTCAATATCAACTTTAACACACAAGTATAGTTTATAACGGAAGAAACAAGGAAACAAACAGAATAAGGTCACAATATTATTCATGGTTATATACAACACCATGACAAAAAGGATGTCATGAAAAAAAATGAGAAGCTTTTTGTTTGCTTGTGGTATACTATGTAAAACTTGCTCTTATTTAAATACAATAATAAATATGAGCTGGAACTGCTGGCACAGCAGGTATCTAACTTTGGTGGCTATGTTAGGGATACGAACAGTTGTGAGGTGTTCTGGGGACATATTCTGGGAACAGACACTAAAAATCAAAGAGTTAGGAGTTAGATGTTCTAAATGTTCTGCTTCCGACCACACGCATTATTACTTCAGCCTAAGGAAAAGAAGCCACACAAAGTTGCCCCTGTAAAAGTCACATTTAGGATGTGGGTAATAAACAGTATACACATAACATAAATATATTCAAGAATGCATATATTACCTTGTGAAATTTCTGATAAGAAGTTTTAAGACTGAAGGCCTGGACACTCTTACAACATGGAACGTGCACTGAGCTACATTTGACTACCCCAAACTATTTGGCCCCAGCTTCAGTGGTTTTCATGACTTCAACACTGACACTGTGAAGCAGATCTCAACAATGCCCAGACCTTGATAGCAGTACGGTGCAGAAACTGTTCTGCCTGACTCTGCTACTTGCCCATACCTGAGACCTATGTGGTTGCACAACATTTGCTTTCCCAGGAAATGTGCTTGAACAAAGAAAAAAAAATAGTGCTTTAGAGAGACTCTGAACCAAGGTGCATTTTCAGTCTCATAACTCATATTTCAAGCCAGAAGGCATTGAAATACTCATTATTCAAGTCAAGTCTAAAATACATCACAGGATACAGAAATATCACAGTATAAATCCTGGAAACTTCTGATATTTTCACTACAGTTTACTTCGTGAATCAAATTTACTCCAAGACAGAAATGGCCCTATTTAACCAAACTACAGCCTTTAAAAATATATAATTAGGAAAAATTTCTGGTAGGTTTGAGAGTGATTGTTAAGATCCCAGAAGCTAAAGCTGTCATTTATTTTCATGCGTAGGTGATAAGAAAACAGGGAGAAAAAAAAAAATGTGTTCTGAAGATATTTATTTTTAAGCTTTTCTTACAGCTCTTTTCACAAGTTGGTGCTATTCATATTGAGTGTTATAATCAAAAGGCCTGAATTCAAATATTGTGACATATTATGTAGCTATTTCTTCATATGTCTAAAAGAAAAAGGTCACATCAGTGGAATGAGAAAGCTTTTGCTTACTGGGTGGTTTTGCATACTGATTGAAAAATGAATACTTAAAATTAAATAATAAGGGATGCATCAGTCTAATAAAGGTGCACTCTTTGCACTATACCGAAATCTTTTTCTTTCTTTTCATCTTTATGCCATGTGGGGATTACAACTGAGAAAATGAGTTTTCTGAAAAGTAATTTTATTTCACTGTGTCATTATTTACTTCAGGACTTCCCTTGGGAATTTGCTTTTCTAAGTATTTAAACCACGGTTTGAGAAAGTGCGTGTAATCAATGACATCACTCATATTTGATGGTAAGTAGTAGACAAAGAGTTTTCCTAGACTGACACTTTAATTTATGTCAGGTTTTACTTAAAGGCAGGTAAATATGCATTGTCAGATGAATGACAACGTAGCTGCAAATGACTGTAGGCACATAGACTTGCTTCTGATGGAAATCCAGATATTAAAAGTATGTGTGCTGTCCAGGTGACTTTTGCTTTTTTTTTTTCTTTTTTTTTTCCTTTCTTTTTAG